GTAACCTGCTAAGAATTATTTTTAGAGGAAAAAAATAGAGTAAAATAGCATATTCTAGTAGATGAAAATGTGAAGTAGAATGGTGTATGTGTGTTTATACTATTCTCATCTTTATAGAAAAGGGTATTTATATATACTACTAGAGGCCGATACACGAAATTCATGCAAGAGTAGGCCTTCCTTCCCCCTGGCTGTTGGCATCGACTTCCCTCTGGCACCCAGGACTCAGGCTTCCCTTGTAGTTCTAGTTTCGTCCAGAAGGTCGTCTGGAAGGATGTCCAGTCTAATTAGCATATTACGCTTTTATTATTATAGATTTGTACATCAAATATATGTCTTCTATTGCCTAAGTTATAACACATTTACTTACGTGCTTTAAGAAAATCTAATTAACAGTGATTTGGGAAACTGTTTTCCCCTTCACTATTCTTAGCCACAAACTCAAGATTCTTCTTGGTCAGTTTGTTTTTTTTAATACTTTAAAATAATTCTAAAAATTCTCCTTCTCTGCTGTGAAGAAGGTTTTCTAGGATTCACACTTGTGAGTGAGCCCCTTCCTCCTTCTAAGACATTAAGGCCAGACAGATGTGTGCTGACAATAGCAAAATCCCTCAGGCTGAAGCAATGCAAACTGCTTGCTACCTGCTACCCAAGGGATTCTATAGGACCCCCTAAAGAGCAAGAGTAGCAGGAACAAGATAATGAGTGCCTTTCTTGTTCCACCCAGACCTTCCTAAGATGAATAGAATGCAGTCTTTTTAAAATGCCTATCTCTAAAGATCAGGCTTGATTTTGAATAAAATTAGCATAATTAACAAATATTAATTCATTCAGTTATTGAGATCTTATTAATTGTTATAACAGTGCATGGTTCATCACTATATTCTTATCCACAGTTTCCCAAGAGGCAATCAAACAGATTCTTGTATTTAGATAAGAAAGGCAAAGAAGTTCAATTTTTGCAATATTGTTTATTTAAAAAACAATTTTTAAAAACTCTGATTTTTGCTTTGTTTCTAAACATTCAAACATTCATTATTTTAGAGTGAAAAAGAATTATGACTTTAATATTCCTTTTAAATTGTTAACTATATTAATATGTCCATCATCTAGTTGAGTTTAATAAATATTCACTTGATATTTTTAACTTTTTATGGAAAAAAAGTTAAAATTTTTAACAACCATAGCAAAATTGTCTTTAAAATGTATAAAAAATTAAATAAATTATATTTCAGTCTAAATTATATAAGTAGTAAATTTATGACATAATTAAGAATATATCAAATATAAAATTTGATCCTAATAATATAGAATGCTTTCAAAATTTGATTAATGATCTTAATGTTTTAATTGATGGCTCAATTGATAGTAATTATTTTTTCAGGTGAAACATAGCACCTCCTTCGCCCCTCCAGCAGCTACAGTAGAAGAAAGAAATAGTGACATTTAACTCAGTCTAATAGATTCCCAAGAAAAAGATGATTGACTGTAGTTTATGTCGTCCATGGCAAGAGATGAAATGGTGAAATCATTCAGAAACACTAAACTTAAAAATTAAATTAGAATATGGAATACTGAGTAATAAATCCCATGTAATTCAAATTAGCATTGCCACTTCACTTGACAGAAGTTACCTTAAAGAGACAGACTTATATAATGAGTAAAAATGGGGAGAACTGTGCTAATCTAATACAAAGAAATCAGAGAAAGTTGATAATAAGATTGCATCAAAATTTTTAGAATTTACATTATTTAAAAAACTAAAAAGCAATGTCATGGAGTTATGAAATTGACCCCAAAAATAACTGAATTATATTTACTTATTATTTTTTTGTTAATGGTGTGATATATTGCATGTTTACAAAACTGATTCAAGTTTATTTTTAAGATATTTCTTAGAGAGTCTACTTGAAGTCAAGCATTGTTAGGGATAAAAATGAAGAAAAGAGCAGAAGTGATCCATCTGTCATTCATGGAAATTGCAGTCCAGAGGAAAGAGAAGTGAGTCAGACTTTAAAAAAAATCACAAAAATAAAAATATGGTTATAGCTTGTGATAAACACCATCAAGAAGAGTTTCAGGTTGTAAAAGGATTGTAAACAAAAAGAACTGACTAGCACATTAACACTATTTTTAGTAAACATTTTTATATTTTCTATTTCACTTCAGTTTTTTTATTCCAATCAGTTGATATACATATACATAATAAACACAAAAATAGCTTTCTAATATCAGTCAGAAAATATCTTTGAACTCACTTTTTTTGCCAACATTTTATCTTTTTGACAATGTTTTGGGAGGCAAAATTATGATCTCACACTGACTTTGCTTTTCCCAGTGTTTTATTTATATTTAACACAGGTTCACTTTAGGAATTATAATTTACAAACCAATAGTATACAGAATAATGTCTCTTAAACAGCAACGAGATATATATATATATATATATATATATATATATAGAGAGAGAGAGAGAGAGAGAGAGAGAGAGAGAGAGAGAGAGAGAGAGAGAGACATACCTCACTTTATTCACTTTATTGTACTTCACAGATGTTGGTTCTTCCACAAATTGAAGGCAAGACCCTTCACCAACCAAAATATTACAACTCTATTATGATACTCAGTTTATTGCGGTGATCAGATACCTAACTCACAATAGCTCTGAGCCATGACTGTACTCTAAAGCAATAAGAGATCAATTATACTGTTGTTCCAGCCAAGGAGAGAAAAAAGAAATTGAGTCCATATATACTTGAGGTATATCTTTATGCAAGTTGTACTCAGAAGACAACTCAGCCTGGCCAACCCAGAGCTGATGTCCACGTGCCAGTGCCAAAGTGAAAGTTCCTGTTGCTAGAGCACTTTGCCAGGGAATGACAGCGCTAGTGTGGGCAGGCAGGGTGTTCTTTGTAGAACCGCTGCCTGGCTTTCCCCACTGCCAGCAAGAGTCCCCTGACCTCAGCGGGAGCTAAAGCCCCAAGGTCTTCACAGAGCTCTTTAGATCAGCCAAGGGTAGCCCTGCCCAGGCCGAACACTCCAGAATAGTCTTCACAAATTACAGGCATTTATTGTCTAAATGTACTCTTGTCACATGTTTTATTCGATAAGGCCCCACGGATGCCCCTCAGCAGCTGAGCTAGTGAGTACCTATCAGTGACAACAGCTAAGAGGATAACATCCTGACATAGACTCCTTCACTCTTCTAGCAAAACAACTTCACTCTTAAAAACAACTTCATTCCTAGGTCAAAACAACTCACTCTCAAAAGCAACTTCATGTCTTGTCAAAAACAAAAAAGAAAAAAAAGTGGATTTGAAATCAAACTCATGGACACAGATAATAGTGTGGTGAAGGCCTCAGGACAGATGGGATTGCAGAGTGGAGGGGTTCAACGGGGAAAAAAGGGGCATCCGTGATGCTTTCAACAATAAAGATAAATTTTTTTTACTTTTAATTTCTTTAATTTCTTTATTGATTAAGGTATTACATATGTGTCCTTACCCCCCCCCATTACTCTCCCCCCACTCATGCCCTCACCCCGCTGGTGTCAGTGTCCATTGGTTAGGCTTATATGCATGCATGCAAGTCCTTTGGTTGATCTCTCCCCCTCACCCCCACCCTCCACTACCTTCCCTCTGAGGTTTGACATTCTGATCAATGATTCTCTGTCTCTGGATCTGTTTTTATTATTTTAAAAAAATGTACACAACAGATATCGTACAAAATAAAAATATACTCAGTTAAATTTTGATTATTTATGTTGCAGCAAGATTTTTCATATTAACAAGGTAATTTTATTAATGATTATGTTCATTGAATTTTTAAAAAGCACTGCTTCCCAAACAGTATGTAGCACTCTGGAGTACACTGAAGACATTAATTTAACAAATATTTATAAAGTGTTTACTGTGAATAAGGAATTCTGCCAAAATAAGGAATCTGTGTGTGGGGAAGGTGGAGAAGCAATGGCCAGTGTACAACCGAGCAGGAGTGGCTGTGGATAAAATAATAAATCTACTACAAGCAGGGGGGATGTCCGAGCATCGGTACAATGACATGTTATGGAACTTTAGAGATGACAGAAACATCAATTTCATCTTCGTGGGCCAGGAGCCACCAGGAAGGCTATGATGGGGAAACAATTTAGATCTTGTCTTGGCACGTTAGGTCAGGAAAGGAACAATTATGCATAGGAAATGGCATGGACAAATTTCCAAATTTGGAAAGCTTGGGGTGTTTTAATAGGAATCTCATTAGGCTTGAGAGAAGTTAAGTTCCTTATGAGAAATCATGATAAAATAAGCTGAGAAGTAGAGAGGAATTTGATTATCACGAGGCTATGAATGCAAAAATAAAGAAATTAAATTTAATTCAAAGGGAATTGTTTTTGGTTATTATTTATTAAGGAAGAAAAATTAGATTGATAGTATAATTGTGAAAAATTGTTAAGGAATCATTTGTAGGCATTTCTAAAACACCTCCTGGATACCTGCTACAAATGAATGTAAGTCACTTTGAGAAATACATATTTCTAGCTATCAATATAGAAATAAGTGAAGTTCAAGCAGTTTTATTATGAAAATGTAACATGGCCTAACTTCTTGATCTTATGCTCATGACATTTAGAATAGCCAAGGTAGAACTATGTTCAGTCAAAATTTTAATTCCTTTATACAAAAATGACTCCTAGTCTTATGGAAACTAATATATCCAGGTTTCTTACTACTTTAAAGAAATTAATTTAGCTTCTCAGAACCACATAAGTCGACTATTCGCCCAGGTTCACATTCTGTGGCTCAGACATTTTCAACATTTATAAACCCCATGATTGTAAAACAAGTATAGTAATTCTATTTGCTCACTTAAACCTTAGATGACTGCGGGGGGGGGGGGGGGGGAGGGTTCCCTTCTCTTATTTTAAACAAAAGTTTCTGTCATTTCTACTTAAGTTTCTGGTACTTTTACTTATATTGTGTTTTCTGATCTGCTTATAAATCTAGATCTGCAACATCCTCCTTTACTGCTCCTTCTGGTGGGACAGAAGGGGTGGACTCCATGGGGACTTACCTCAGGCCCTCTCCTGCAGTGCCACCGGTGTGCCAGGAGGATGTGTGCCACAATGGAGGCACTTGCCATCCCATCTTCCTCTCAACTGGTGCATTCTCATTCCATTGTGACTGTCCACTACATTTCACTGGCCGTTTCTGTGAACAAGGTAATCAATCTTCATTATCCTTCTGTATTTCTTTTTAAAAACTTCTCTAGAGAGAGGAAGAGAATTGAAACCTTTTGTACACACAGTGATGGATAGGAGCTCAAACAAGAAACTTCTGTATAATTTTACTTAAAAATCAATTCTGAAAGAACATTTTCAGTTCAATAATGTAGAAGCCAAACCTGAGATATTTTTATTCAAATTACCATTAAACATATATTTTCAATTGCCACCAAAAAGAAATTAAAGTTAAAATGTAATGTTATTTACATATTTTCTTCTAAAAGTGTGATATTCCATCCTTTGTCATAGAAATAATTTGGTTCTAATTAATGCTATTTTTATTGCTTGTTAATCAAATCACATAAGCAGATCTCTATATTTAAATTATTTTGGTGTGTCAGAAGAGTACATTATTTTTTTAATGCTTAAAAACATAATTTTAGCATTAATGGAATTATTTATGAATGAAGTGTAAATTTTCCTATTGTCAATATCTAAGGACCTCCTGAGAGTCAGTTAATTAAAGCCATGCTGGGCACCTACAGCCAGAAACGCCCTGGGCAGATTACAAAGACCTTAGGTTATGAGGCAGCTGACTGCATGTCCCTCCACTAATAGCTTAAAAGTGTCATTGTTTCCTATGTAAAATTAATCACTGGTTTTAAATTGGGGAAGTAGGGGTGAGGATTACTAGTGGATAATGATTCAGATAGCAGAGAAATTCATTACTTATTCAAGATTGTGTTAAATGACCCCCTTTTTTAATACCAAAATGTGAGGCCTCCAAACCTAATTCAAAGGTACGTGTATATGTTATTTAACTCTTCTTCCCTAATGATCTTGTGTGACTGTAGCGAATGTTTTAATATTCAGCCAAGTAAGCAAGTAAACACAGTAAGCTCAGAAATGGAAATAGTCTATTTTCATGTTCATGGTAAAACATTGTGTTCTTAAAGTCTATTTTTTAACTGTAAAGTGCTTTTGACGACACATCATTATTACTTAATTTTTGAGTGAATATTTCATATCTCTGAAAATCTCAAGAGACTTGCCTTCTTCAGCTACAATCTGAGACCATTTATATTACATTCTGTGAATAGAGTTCTAGGGACATAATTTGGATTGTAAAGCTCTTTTAGATCCTAACCATTTAAAAGTCTTAACCATTAAAAACTCTGAGAGGGTTTTTTCTCTCTTGAATTTCATGCTAGGTAGAGTCTTAGAAAAATACCCTCCTTCCCTTCTTCAAATATACTTTGATATTTTAATTTTTTAACCCAAATGTATTGACAGTGGTGAAATTGATGTTGTAAAAGGCGTCTTTAGTTAATGAGTATGTGTCCTGGTCAACCACATGCATTAGAGTACAAATGACCCTCTAGCCACAATTCCTACCTCTCCTACTGAATCCCCCAGTTCTTCCTCCTAATTCCTTACTCAGTAGCTTTAACACTCAGATAGTGGCCTATACTTTTCTTCAGAATAGGAGTAATTCAGGTTTATTTGGAGTTAAATCTAAGACTTGATTGAAGTTTAATAACGTTGGGTGTTTGAGGTGACAGAATACAGGAACCTGAACTCCGGAAAAGAATCTCTGCTCTGTATTCATTGTTTGGAGTGTTTTATCTTTTTCCAAGAGTATTATTCACTTTCTACCTCTTTTTCCTGTTGAATTTACAATATTTTGAAAACTAATGACTGGAATGATAATGTGTTGCTAAAACTAGGTAATCCACTATAGATTACTTATTTCTAAGTGAAAAATAATCAGAAAATGTGAGTAAGTAATTATTACCAAGATGATGACTTGTTTTTTCTTAAAGAAACTTTGTCAGTGACATCTGAGATATATGATGCACTAAACAAAAATGCATGCATAGGACTCTTTAGATTATCAGCCCTGATAGCATTACCTATAACTTTGTTGCTATTCTTGCCTCCTTTGGGAAAAAATATTTCAATATGATATTTAGAATGTGGTGTGATATACATTTTTAGAATTGGGAATGTTCTTTCTAAATTTAAAAATAATCAGTATTTTCTTTTAACTATTTACCCCCTAAACTGGAATTAAGTACCTTTCTTATTTCAGTTATAGAGGAAGTCAAGAACAGGTTTATGTTTTCAGTATGATGCTCTAAATATAAGTCACACTGGTATGCATGTTAGAATCCAGATTGACAGATAATGACTACTGCCTAAGGCCTATGACTCAGGAATCTGCTACCATAATGAGACTTTTTATAGCATTATCCAGGTTGGTCAGATGCCACAATTTCTAAGAGTAGATTTAAATAAACAGTATGGTATGCCAGTTTCTACTACCTGGTAGAAATCTTGCTATGGATAAACAGTCCCTTAAATCAAAGTTTCATCAAAGTCTCTCTCTCTCTCTCTCTCTCTCTCTCTCTCCTCTCTCTCTCCTCTCCTCTCCTCTCCTCTCCTCTCCTCTCCTCTCCTCACTTTACATATATACATATATATGTGTATATACATATATATGTATGCACATATATGTGTATATATATATATATCTATATATCTATACATAGATATATAGATAGATAGATATATACATATGTCTTAGAAATGTTCTCAGTATTAAATTGCTTAGACTTTACTGATAGATTGCTATGAAAATTATTTCTTGCTAAGTTTCTGTTGAGTACATTTAACGTCTAAATTATATAAACTACATTGTGAATAATTTTGGTGTGCCAGATGCTGCACCGAGTACTTCCTAAATCTTATTTCACTCAACCCTCAGAATAACACAGCTAGGTAGAGCATTACATCATGTGCTCTACTTTATTAAATCATCCATATCCAATCACTTAATAACATTGACTTATAGAATCAGTTTGATTCAATATGCTCTTTTTTTATCTTAATTCATATGAGCTCAACCTTGTTGCCTACTTTATCATAATGATCCTGCATCTCACCAGGGGAAACATAAGAGCATATAGTCTTGCTTTGTTTCAGATGGTTGCATGCAGGCAGATGGCTGTCTCCTACTGTAAAGTTCAGAGTGACAGATTTAGAATATCAGTGCCTTGTGCTTGGGGGGAAGTGTATGCCTCTGACTATTAATTATAGGATTAACATTTTTAAACATCCCCATACTTTTTAGTGTTCTATAAAACAGTTTTATAAATAGTGCAGTAAAGGAGTATTTAAATGCCATACATTAAAACCAAGAAACCTTTTGTTTTATTTGAGATCCTGTCTGTATATATTTTATATATGCGTAAAGGTCAACTGCACTGAGTAAATTGCAAACCTGGAAATAAAAGTGAGAGATTTTACTCGGTGTTTTGTCTTGTTATATATATGTTTAAAAGACTGCCTTAATGATGCCTTTGGTTTTACCATAACCGGAATATATTTTAACATTGTGTTAGAGTAGTCTGAATTTATTAAGTTTTTAGATCAGGTGGCCAAATGTCAGATATTCCAGAGCCAAGAAGGCATAGAAACAGAACATTAATCAACATATAACACTGATTTATCTGCTCTCCAGAGAACTGATCATCTGCATCATCAGAAAAGGACCAAGAAATAGGTGTCTGTCTTTTCAAACATAATAACCATGTCTGAAAGTCTGTCTTTCTAATCAAAGAGCAATACAGCATATTTACTAGTCTATGGAAACTGCTAAAATATTAAGATGTTAAGTTGCAAATGAATGGGGATTGAAGTCAAGGACAAGGGCTGAAGGGAGACAAGAATACTTATGGTCAGAGACAGAGGATTTTATTTTTGAAGGCAGAGGTGGTCTGAAGGTTCCAATCTTCTGTGCTCTTCTCCACTATCAGTTGCTGCATTCTCCAGCAGGGAGCAACGTGTTCATTAGTAGAAAAAGCTCCCTCCCCATCCTGGTGCTTGTAACTGTGTAAAATCTAGATGTTCATCAGTCTCTCTATTGACTTTGGTAATAATCCAGAATGTTCACATGGGAAGAGGAGGGAATATACACATATCCCCCATCCATCAAAAAAGGATAACATGCCGAAACCGGTTTGGCTCAGTGGATAGAGCGTCGGCCTGCGGACTGAAAGGTCCCAGGTTCGATTCCGGTCAAGGGCATGTACCTGGGTTGCGGGCACATCCCCAGTAGGAGATGTGCAGGAGGTGGCTGATCGATGTTTCTCTCTCATCGATGTTTCTAACTCTCTATCTCTCTCCCTTCCTCTCTGTAAAAAATCAATAAAAAAATATATTTAAAAAAAAAAAAAAAAGGATAACATATATTTTGTCTTCTAGATGAAGAGAATATTATGTTGTTGTGAAAATAGATATGTAAGAATGACTTTTTACCAGTTCCTTTTTAAGGTAAAACTGTGAGTTCTGGTCATTTCCTTCGACTAAAAATGGGACTAGAGTAAATTAATGAAAAGAGAAACTATTCCATTAATTTTATCCATCTATTCAAACTTGTAATGGGTCCATTGTTCTTGTTCACAAGAAATTTAGTAAAGTTTATGGTCAGATACTAAATGCAATGGCTGTTTTTTCTTAGTTCCTGCAGTCCATACCCTTTCTTATTTATTATTTATTTATTTTAAAAAGAAAACATTAACCTTTTCCATATTAGAATATATTATATAATTAAATTAAGTAGGATTAGTTGCATTCTATCTTCTTATTTGTCATTTTAACATTTTAAACTATGGTAGGAAAGCTGCATGAATACATTTGTTGTACTGTTTAGAATGAAATAGTAAGGATTTGAAAGAAAATTCTGTATTCTAATTAACTAGAATAAATCATTGCACAGAATTGAAAAATATAAATGTGGATGATATGAGAATAGATCAACAGTAAAAACAAAGACTAATGTTAACCGGCCCTAAAATGTTATTATACAGGGTGGGGCAAAAGTAGGTTTACAGTTGTAATACAAATAAACAACATAATAATAAATAATTCAAGACTAAACTCTGTGTTTCACATACTCACAACTGTAAACCCACTTTTGCCCCACCTTGTACAAT